GAGCCACCTTATGCTGACTTGGCTCGCCTACTACATGCTAGAATTAGTGTTAAAAATGAGCTTGTACATTGCGAGATTCTTTATATTTGCTACAAAAAGGTCACAATTATTTCTGACCATTATATGTTAAATTTGATGGTTTAAGGTCATGAAGCATGACCAGGTTTTTTTTATAGAATTTTGACTATAGTCAATTTCTCTCTTACAACTACTCAATTTGAAATGTGAGGACTATAAGTGATTGTAACCTTGTTGTACCAAAAATAAATAGTCCCTTTGTATACTCTTCCATTAAAAATTATTTAGCCGACTGCTCAAGTTGAAACTTAAAGGCACTTGCATCAATTTGCTTTAAGTCACTATTTTATATCGGCAATACAAATTTTATTTATCAAGGACTATATACTCAGTCATTATATCTCTTCTCACTACTTACATCTAAGTCCTTTTAAAACTTTTATTTACTTTTTTAGAACCCTCCACTTGTATCGGATATAAATTATAAATCTAATAAAAAAAAGATTTGCATGCCTATCCATGTGAAGTTTTTTTTTAAAAAAGCACGGTCTTTATGAATCTGGTGACTCATATATACAAGTCCTTTCTCTATTATCTATTTTTTAGATGGATTTTGGATCCAACTTTTTAGGAATATATAATGGATAGCGGTTAGCACATAGACTTAAACTTTTGAAATTGGGGAATATATAGTCTCTAATATGGAGATCATTCAAAATGTAAAAAGACAAAATTTTAAAAATTAAAAGTAATAGTTTTGTGAAGAAAATATTTAAATCATTGGTTTTAATTATTTTTTGGAGAGATCACCCAATTTGCATTCATTGTTAAGATGGATGTTTTATACCTTGGGGGACGAAGTGTAGGACTGTATCCCCTGATATGTCCCCCGATGCATACAATATATATATATATATATATATAATCTCTAACATGGCATAAGTAATATGTAAGAAACTAATTTTTAAAATAAAAAATGATGAGTTTTTGGATAGTATTTTTAGGCCCTTAATTTTTTTTATTTTGGTAAGATCACTGCGTTACATCTGTCGTAAAGATGAATGTTTTGTGGATGCACAAAGCACTTTTCCTTAAGAAAAATCTCTCTAAATTTCCATTACTAAATTTGAACCCATTTTTTAATTGGTTTAGAATGACCGATTGCGACGCTATAGTTTAATTGTGAGATTAATACATTTTTATACTAATTTTTTTTTATATAAGGTGTCAACTTTATATTGTACAAGTAAGGTGGAACTCATAAACCTACCAAAATAGATTGTGCCAACATTACAAAACTCTCAAATTGATCATCTTGTCCTCAATATATATGGATGTGGAAAAAAATTGGTTTCAAGTTTTGAAAATAGTGTATCATGTAGTGCATTATTTGGACTGTCAATTTTTAAGACTTTCGAGTGTTTCTATATTTATGTGATGTGCATCATTTTTAGAACTTTAAATTGTGAGATTGGGGATGAAAACAATTTTTTAAGTCATCGCAATTTTTTTCGGCACCAAAAACTACTTCTTCTAGCATAATGCAGAGGGGCACATTATTTGATTGTCTAAGGTTGACGCTTAATACAAACCACACTCATGAATACAAGAACTTTTTGTTTTATAAAAACTCCTTGCTTTTATCTCAATTAAAAAAATAATATAATAAAACCATTTATTTTTACCACAAGGAAGTCATAACCACCTTTGGACCATACATATAAGATTGAGTAGCTCTATCATTGACTAAGACCAAGGTGCAAAGGAAAATTTTTCGAGCTTTGTGAGAGTACCCAAGCCATCGGATTCCACGGTTATGGTTAAGAGCAATTGTATCGTAGATAAGCAATCTCATAATATACAATCGCAATAAATAATTCATCAAATCACCGAATTGGCTCAAAACCAAGAAGCAGTGTAGGAAAACCAACCAGGTCGGGTTACCTGAACTCACCCACTGGGTTAGCTAGTTTTTAGTTAGTTTAATGGGTCTAAACCAGTATTCGTAAAATCGAACAGGAACAGTTAACCGGACATTGGATCGAAAGTGATTTAACCGGCCTAACCGATAAACCGGCCGATTCAACTGTTCTAACCGGGTAAGTCCCGGACGATCATAAAAGTGTTAAAAAATAAAAAAGATACAAAAAACAAAATCTACTAAAATATGAAAAGCATATAAAAAAGGATTAAAATAAAACGCATTCAAATGAAATTATAAATTAATGAAAAAATAGATTTTAACGAATCGATTTTTTAATTAAAGTGAGTATTAATGACAAAAATAATTTTTAATCTTTACCATAATGTAAAGAATATTTAAAAATGTATTACAAACCAAATTTCATATATATATATATATATATGGAAGATACTACAAAACACTTATAGGCAAAATGAATAGTGATTTCGCTTACCCTCATCATCATCTAAACTTCATCACACGGTCACAGTTGTCCAATAGTATTTCAATTTTCATTTGTTTTTTACTAATCAGAATGATTTGAAATTTGGAGGATGTGTGCATCTTAGTGAGGTGCACATAATAAAAATATGAAAAAAGTATTTCCTAAACTATAAATTAACTAAAATACCCCCATAAATTTTCGGGGGTATTTCGATAGATTATATTTTGTGAATTATTTTTTTCATATTTTATTAGGTGCGTCTCACTAAGAGGTACGTACGTTCCAAATTTCAAGTAATTTGGATTTATAGAAAAAAGAAAAGAAAAATGAAACACTATCAGACAATTGTGATCATGCGATGTAGTTTGGATGATGATGAGGGTAGACGAAATCAATATTCATTTTCACCTATAGGCGTTGGAAAGAGTTTATATATATATAATTTTTTTAGCTGGACCCAACCCGAACTGGTCTCGAATAATATTGGTTTTTATAAATGTTATCAATATTTTTGTATTTTAAGAATTTCTAGTTATTATGTAAAAGAGTAAATAATGTGGGTATATGCGGGTATTCATAAATATTAAACAATACTATAAATATTGCAAATAACATGGATAAATGATGGTAAAAAAAAAAACAAAAAAACAAAAAAAAAACTCATAGTCAAAACCCATATGTTTCACGTAAGTATTCAGGTAGCAATAGACCCACTAGATCGAGGACACAACAAATGTACCGGACCTTGGGTCGATTATGCGTCCAAATTTTAAACCCAAAAGAAGAGATTGGGGTTCAAAACTTAGACCCGAATATTATTGAGGTCTAAGCCCGGAGCACTCCTATTTTGAGAGAGAGAGAGGGAGAGGGAGAGGGTAAGGAGAGAATGGTGATGATGAGAGTGGCCGGCATGCCATGCCACGCCACGCCACGCCACGCGACGCCGTTCACCCACATCCACATCATTGTGGGAGCTGCACGCCCTCGCTCCTACCAAGACCAACACTCTCTCTCTCTCTAATCTAATCTAATCATCATCTTTTATCCTTTTCCCAATTCATCCCTTATCCCTCTCTCTATTTGTCTATGGCCTGTTATGACCAGCCATCTATACAAAGCAATCATACCGTATCCCTAACGAACAAATCGTACAAGATTTTTTATTATATTATTTGAAAATAACTTTAATTTTTTTAAGACTTCATATGTACTACCTTTTTTTTTTTTCCTCTATCATCTTCCTTACGAAAATACCGTATTCATGAAGGTCCTTGACCCGGATTTATGATGGTCAGTACACTTCATGGTAGTCTTGCATTCGTGAAGGCATAACGTCGACCCGGGTTTATGATGGTCATGGCAAGTTCTTAGCCAATACATCACGACACCCGTGTTTTGGACTATCATATGGTCACTTGAAACATCACTTAAAGAACCTTGATGCTCACTTGAAGCATCAAGGCACTTGAAGAACCACTTGAAGCATCACGGCAATTAAAAAATGGCCATGCCATCACGGACCTAATAATTTTGTGAAAGGTATTTTAATCGCAAAAATGTGAAAAATAGTAAAAAAGCATATGGATGACGTTTTGAAAGGAAATTAAGGTTTATTTCTATTTAAAATAAAAATTTAAATAATTTTGAATTTTGTAACACTTAGACGTAACCCTTTAAAAATAAGGTAATCTTGATTCAATCTTTTGGTATTAGTTTTTTAGCCCTTTAAAAATGAGGCAGTCTTCATTCAATCTTAAGGTATCAGTTTTTTAGCCATTTAAAAATTAAGCAGTCCCGATTCAATCTTTAGGCACTAGTTTTTTAGTAAATTGAGATTATTTTATGGGTTGTAGGGATTGCATTAAAAAAATTTGAGATATATCTTTTGAAATTGTTAATGGAGTTGTGTTTAGAGTTAAAACCATAATGTGGTAACTAAGATGTGGGTTTGCTAACACCACGACCCTAATCTTTTTTCCTTTCTAGCATATGTTTTGTCCAATGGAGTAAATAGATAGTGAATGCTGTTAGCATGCAGTTAAGCTTGACACATGTACAAATGCGAGCTTGGCAATAAAAATATTTTTAAATATAATTTGATCCTAATTTTTAGATAACATATAATTTTTAACATTGAGATCATGAATATGAAAAAATAAATAAATTTCGAAAAATAATAATAATAATTATATTAAAAAAATATTTAGACAGTTAGTTATAATTATTTTTAGATAGACCACCTATCTGCATCCATCTCTAAATTGATGCTTTATACTTTTGGACCGCACCTTGTACAAATACGGTCCAGGCCGCACGAAACAATTGGTCACAGATAACATACTGGAAATAGGAATTCTCGTACCATTCACTATTTCAAACAATCTCCAGTGACCATTGCCATCCATGGGGATGCCCAGTGAAGTTTCAAATTAAAGATGGTGATGATGCAACATGAATTATGCATGCATTCATGCATGTCATGCATGTATGTGGGCATGAGATGGTGATGATGGGGTGGATTAAAAATGATAGTCCCGGCGGAACTGCGTATCACGCGGGCACCATGAAATGAAGCGAAGAAGCGCCACCTTTCACTCTCTCTCTCTCTGAAACACACTCTTTCACCTTTTTTTGGGATGCACGCACCAGAAATACCTGCGAATAAAAGCACGCACTGCTGGTTCACCACCTTATATAAACCCCTTCACCAACCTTTCTCACCACCCCACTCTCCATTTTCTCTCTCTAACTCCCCTGTTTCCACCTTCTTTCAACCTTCTTTTCCTCTGGTATTTCTACTGCCTCTCTCTCTCTCTCAGCTTTTCTTCATTTTCTTCTTTCTAGCACTTCTTCCTACTACTCTGTGGCTTCTGTTGACTCTGTTCTTGCTACCATCTCTTCTCGCTTCTCTCTCTCTCTCTCTCTCTCTATCTGTTGAAGTTTTTCCTTACTCTGTTTTAGTTTGTGCAGAAATGGCGGATATTCCCCACACCAATGGCAATGGCATCCACACCATGGCTCGTGAGTTCGGAGAAGATCGGCGGAAGTGTTGCTGGTACGAGGAGGAAATCGAACAAGACCTTCGCATGTGCTACGCTCTCAAGAGGTCTCAGCAACCCAAGTTTCCATTCTCTCACTACTTTTAATGGAACATGAATTACTTTGGAGAGAGGGGAAATGGATCTTTTTTTCTTTTTTTTTGGTGGTTTTTAGCTGATAGACATGTTTTGTGATGGTGGGTTGTAGCATTTTGCATACTGGAGCGAGCAATTATCAGGACATTACTCTGCTCGATACGAGGCCATTTGGGAAGGTCAATACTCAATATTGCAAGCTTTTAAACTCTAATAGATACACAGAAGAGCTGCTCTTTACCACAGTTTAGTTTGATTATTTTCAGATGAAGGTTTGGTTTTTAACTGATTTTTTTCTTCTGGGATTTAGGCTCTGATTATTGACGGCAAGCTCCAGAGTGCTGAAATAGATGAATTTATATACCATGAATGTCTTGTTCATCCTGCATTGCTTCACCACCCAAAGTACTCTCTCTCTCTCTCTCAAATGTATAATGTTTTTCTTCAGATTACTCTGTTTGACACCGTATAATTCCTATTGTTACAGCCCAAAAAGTGTTTTCATAATGGGAGGTGGAGAAGGTTCGACTGCTAGAGAGATACTGAAACACAAGTCTGTGGAGTTTGTTGTAATGTGTGACATAGACGAGGTCATTCAACCCTTCCATTCTCAACGAACTATTTCCTTTTCTTCTGATCGTCAACATATTTTCCTGGATTCAAAATCGATGAAACATATTCTTCTGGACAGGAAGTGGTTGATTTCTGCAAATCTCACCTTCTCGTGAACCAGGAGGCCTTTATGGATTCCAGGCTTCAGCTGATCATTAACGACGCCAAGTTTGCTCTCTCTCTCTCTCTCTCTCTCTAATTTGAGTAATCTTGTTTTTCTCTCTCTTAAATCTGATATTTTTTTTTGTTTTTGGGCTCAGAGCTGAACTTGAGAAAAGGGAAGAACTCTTTGATGTGATCATTGGAGACCTTGCTGATCCATTAGAAGGAGGCCCCTGTTATCAACTTTACACCAAATCCTTCTATGAATCCATTGTCAAGCCAGGATTGAATGAAGGGGGCATATTTGTTACACAGGTTGGATAACGTGCAAGATTAAGCAAGCCCTACAGAATTTATCATCATTGTCAAAAAGGCTTTTTTTTTGTTTTTTTTTAATTAATTGAGGTTTGCTACATAAATCTTATTAAGCTACACAGATCTTTTTAAGGTTACGCCAATTGGGCGGCACCTTGTGGCCATATATCCTGTATCTTTTTTTCACTACTTCTAATCATCCCCTCTTGACCTAAGCCCTCGTTTGAGAAGCAATTCCCACAAAAATGAATAATTCAATTTGGATTAATGTAAACCTATAAAATTTGAATGTGAATTTGCAGGCTGGACCAGCTGGGGTTCTTACCCATACTGAGGTTTTCTCTTGCATCTACAACACTCTCAAACAAGTTTTCAAATGTGGGTCACATTATTTTTCTTCTTCTCTTGTTATTGTTATTCTCATAGGCTTTTCTTGATAGTCTTGGAGGAGAGGAATCAAAAAATTGAGAAGTGCTGTTTAATGTTGTGCAGATGTGGTGCCCTACTCTGCTCACATTCCTTCCTATGCTGACACTTGGGGATGGATTATTGTATGTGATTTCTTTAAATTGTTGTGGTTTAGAGACTCGCTTTCTCTCTCTAAAACTAATCACAAACGGACAATGTTCAGGCATCGGATGAGCCATTTACTGCAAATGCAGAGGAGCTGGACAAGAGAAGCAAGCAGCGTATCAATGGAGAGAACCGCTACCTTGATGGCAAAACTTTCTCTTCTGCCTCTATGCTCAGCAAAATCGTCAGAAAATCGTGGGCTCCTCTCTCTCTCTCTCTCTCATTATTTTGGGCTTATTCTTGTGGTTTTGGATTAAAGTAAAAAATTTGAAGCAATTCTTCTGATTTTGTGGGGTTTGCTTTCTGTACAGGTTGGCTAAAGAAACACAGGTTTACACTGAGGAGAGCGCCAAGTTTATTTATGGGCATGGTGCTGGACACAATAATCATGCTTAAAGATGGTGTTTTAGAGAGAGAAGTGTATCTTTTTCTACTTTTTTTTTTACCGGTTTTTGTTGTGTCGGATGAGAAGAAACTAGGGAACATCCGTCCATGGCCCTTATATTTAATCTTGCAACAATAATAAAATATCTTAGTGAGAGAAAGAGATACAAAAGTGTAGGAGCATAAGGCTCCGTTCTGGTTTTTTTAATGTTCAAGGAAATGGAAGACTTATGGTTTATATGGGGCCCTCTCAATCTCGTATCTGTTGTGATTTTGTTCGAGTTTTCAGATTTTAGTTTGGTTTTTCTCTTTCCGTTGGGTGAAAGGAGAGGCTTACAAAGACCCCCATGTCCCCCACCACCGTAACACCACTTCACGACCATGCATGACTGCCTTTTTTTTTAATATGTAATCAATAGTTTGATATAGAGAGAGAGAGAGAGAGCAAATAATAAATCTGGAAAAGGTCGGGTCAGAAGAGGGAAGAGCTTTGTTCTTGGATGGAAGATACAAGAGAGTGAAGGCAAGTTCTGAAAAGTTGTTTCTTTTCCCACAAGGTGGCCCGGCCCTTACGCGTGCGCCTTGGTTAAGCCATAATAGGCCGGCCTGGTCCTGGCTTTTTTATCTTTTTATATTATTTTCCTTCAAATTTATCCTAATTTTATTTGGTGCCGCCTAGGCCCGGTCTTGTAGGAACGACGCTGGGCCAGCTTTTGCCATCCCTAACTGGGGGAGAGGGAGGGACTGTTTTTTTGGAAAGCAAGAAACACAAAACTAGTTTAGAAGATGGGGGTACAACAGTGTAAGTAAGCTTTATCCAT